AATTGCGGACCTTGGAAGGTGAATGTTGGGGGTTCAAAGCATGATCTAGGCATAGTTGGTTGTGCCATGGTGAAAACTGGTGGTGCAGAGAACAATGTTAAAGGTGCCCCGGAAAACAGTGCCTGGGGGTGAACCACAGAAGGCATGCCGATAAAGTTAGATGATATTGTAGGGTACCCGCACGGGATAAATGGGTTGGTCATAGGGATGTTGGTGGTCCCACCTCTCCTTGGGATCAGCTCGGGGAATCTAGGAATTGCACTTGGCGATTCCCGACCATTAGACCAGGCGTCCCATATTTCTAACATGCGGACGCATCATCTTATTTTCTTCGACAGTTGTCGATTCCGGTTGTGAAATAGCTGGTGCAGGGCTATCCTCAGGATTAATAATGCGGAGATTGCTTTCAAAGTCCATTGGAACCTTTCCTTTGGATCTTGTAAAATAGAGGTGAGAAGCCAGATTACCGACAAAACCAACCACCTGAACAAGAACCTGGCTAAATTGCACACACAACAACCTTGTTAGTTTTGAGGTATTTAACAAATAGAAAATCGCACGTTGGGGATGCAATGCACCTAAACAGTTAAATGCTTATACCATGTGTTTGAACGGTTGCGTGCTTCATCCCAACTTTCACTATCTCTTTCCCACTCTGTAACTCTTTCCTTTCAGTTCTACTCTCTTTTTCTCTTTTGTTTTGTCATTCCTGATTTTGTCTCTTTGTTTTTGTCATACTGGTTTTCTCTTTTGTTTTTATCACACTTTTCTTCCTTTTCCTTTACTTATTTTCTCTCAATTTTCTCTCTTTTTTTGTTGATTTTCACTTAGATTAATTATGGCTATGATCGCATCCGATGGGGATTGCCTACGTATCATGACGCCGCATGAATCAAACCATTATGTAGTTCAGGGGAATAAATCTAAAAATGAAAGCAAAGAAATTTTTTGGGGTTTTCAATATTACATTAATACAATCTTTTTGGGTTTTTCATTACAAGGACTCAAAGACATCGATAACTGACTTAAAAGGAAAGTAAAATACGGACTAGATGATTGGAAAATTAAGAACACAGATGGCTCTCAAATGTTATTCCAGGAGCCTGGGTGACTTCAGTTGGTCTCGGTGCGGGCCTGCTTGTAAGCTTTTCCTAAAGGAACTCGAGGTCGGCCATGACCTAGCGAGCGAAAGACAGCAGTGAAGCAAAGAACATAGCTCGAGTCATATTTTCACACTCATTGCATTTCATTGCATTGTAGTCAGCTATTTCTTTGATTCTAAGCTTAATAACGCCCTTCTCCTGAAGCAATCGTCCAATCTGTTATTCCCGAACTTCCACTATTTGCATGGACTTGTTGTTTTGGTTTTGAAAAATCAACACACTCTCTTCCAATTTGTTGATCAAGGAGTATCAATGCTCCCTCTCCACCCTGAAGTCTTTCACTTGTTGACCTATTTTTTTTTCGAAAATGGCCAACTCTTTCCTTAAGACCGCAACTTCTCTGTCATAACTTTGCTTCGCCTGGTAGGCTAATCTTGTTTGTTCTTCTGCATCTTTCCCCAGCTGGATCATCCTTGCATGAGCTTTTGCTAAATCTTTCTCAGCCTTTGTTATGTCGGCCGCATAGTCTTGCACTTTTTGCCTCAAGTTGCTCATGATTTTTTCGTCTCTTTCATTTCTCACAGGCGTTTCAGCGGCTATTCCTATTTCCTGGAGTTGGGCTCGGAGTGCCTCGTTCTCACGGGTCAGACTTTTATTTTCACCTTCAGCCTCTTGCGCTTGTAAATCATTCTCAAATTTGAGGTTTCTCAGCTTTTCTTCAAGGGCGCGGATGGTTGCTTGGTATCCCTTTTCTTTTTCTCCCTTGGCCAACCGTTCTTAGATTTTATCATCAAAAGCCTGAACATGCGGCCTTTTGGCGGGCCTTTCGGGCTCTGGCGCATCATCCACGCGAGACCTTTTCCCGAACCACATAGCATAACCTAGGTCTACCTCACCTTTTGCGGATCTGGCACCTGGGTATCATCTTTCAAGTACCGGCAACCATTCCAAATTTGTTGGATTAAAGTTTTGGGGAGTGGAGCTTCTGGGTGTAGCTCAATGACTTGGGTACTCAAATCTTCATCCTCGGGCATCGCTTGGTACCTTCCCAACTGTCATAGAACTTTTTGCGGTGCATATGGTTGGACACTTCTTAAACCCATCAGGAACAGATAGCTTTTTAAAGCCGACATGGGTATCACTTCCCTTACCAGGAGCCATCCCAAAGTCCACTCAATTTGGCTTGCGTTTAAAGATGGGATATCCATGCTTCCACCCCTTCTGGAGAATTGTAATCTTTTACTCTTTCCTCGTAACTCCCGATGAAGTTGTTCTTACTCGGGCCATAACTCGTGAATTTGGGGTGATGGCGGATATGCTCAATCAACAACATCTGCAACAAAATATTGCACCCTTCGAAGAACTTTGCCCCGGATTTACACAACGTCAATGCCCGATAAATGTCTGATAGAATAATCAGAGCAAGAGTGTGATGCTATTTGGTAGTGAGGATCTGCACAATTCTGGCAATGCGGATATCAATTGTCCGCTCTTCATTTGGGAAGACCATAACTCCCAGAAATGCCACTATGAAGGCGAAATGGCGGTGGATTTTCCATGTGTCGTTTTGCTTGTTGTTAAGGCCCTTTTCATGCATTTCAAAACCATTTGGATGCCCAAACCTAGAGTACAAGAAGTAGAAAGAACAACATACTCCGTCTACATTGGTTTTCCTGATTTGCTTTCTGATATTCAGAAGATCTAAGAATCGATGCATAGAGAGAGTCCTTGGGAATATAAGTTGCTGACTTCTCAAGTCCCTGCCGAAACCGGAATATCCAGCTATTTCTTCTAAAGTAGGAGTAAGCTCAAAATCTGAGAAGCGGAAGACATTGTGAACGAGATTCCAAAAGGTCACTAGTGCCTCAATCAAACCGTCCAGTGGTTTAACTTTCATAATATCTGTGAGGGTGCCCATGTATTTTGTTACCCAATCCTGACCATCTTTCCCTAAGTCATACCACCACATCTAAAGTTGTAGTGGAGCCTAATCTACAACTGTTAATGGCGGGTTCTGGACAGTGCTTATTTCGTACCTGTGGATGGTTAGGGTTGACACTAGTTCCAAAAGACAAACCAATGGACTCTTTTTGCAAATCAATCTTTCAATTTTCTAAGGAAAACCAAAGGGAATGTGGCTATTTATGCATAATTAGCCAAAGCAAATATGGCTATTTTTGCAATAATAGCCCCTTCGTACTTTCAAGGAACGTTTTGAGGCCGGGGAAGGGCATGATGGCAAAAGTGATGCCCAATTGATAGACACGCCCATTTTTGCGAGAATAGCCCTTCGACAATTTTGGAGATGTTCTAAGGCTATTCCGACAGAAACGGCTGGGGATGCAACCAGATAAAACAAAATGCACAAATAGCACGTAGGATACATCGGGAAGGTCTTTTATTTTGGGTATACCTGTCCTAGACGGACCCAACCCATGTGTTGGGTCCCCAAAGTCAAATGCACGTAATGCAAACAAACATTCCTACTAGGGATCCGACATGAAGCTATGTTATTCTAGGTTTAAAATCCTGAGGGTGTGTTTTAGACGTGGCTTACCCAACCGGATAGCTCGAGCCGAGGTGGGGGCAATGTACCGGGAGTACGAAAGTCTACCCGGCCTAGTTACTAATCCAACCTCGTTTTAATTGGTATGACCTCTAACATAAAAGTGGGTCATGCACACGTGTGCACCATAAATTCAGAAGACTTAGAAGGGAGGCGTAAAATGGCAGTTTATACCGTTCAAATAATATCAAAGCGGTAAATGAGCGGCAATTAGCACATTAGGCCCACAAATACAGTAATATCAAAAATCAAGAAAGCCAAATATAGATCATATTACATGCTCGAATTCTACACTCTGAACCAGAGATTCTGGGTTCTTATCCCCAACAGAGTCTCCAGAACCGTCACACCTCCTTTTCCGAAGATAGAGAGTTTTTTCAATTAAAGTAACATTATTCAAAATGAGATTATTTAATTAGATTCGCCACTTAGATTATTTATTATGGTGTCCCAAGTCACAAGTTTGTGTTAAAATCTTAAATCGAGGAAATTGACTATGTTTTAAAGTTCGCCAAACACAAAAGACTCGGGTAAGAAATTCTGTTAATTCGGGAGAAGGTATTAGGCATTCCCGGATTCTGTGATTTTAGCACGGTCGCTTTAATCATACCTGACTAAATTAATTATTTAATTACATAATTTTAGAACATATGTGTGTTTTACCTTTTATCGCTTTTAATTATGGCATTATGGATTTATCTTTAAAATGGATCACATGTGCATAAATCCGTTTTATTTAGTGCGCTAAAATCATGTCACGCGTACGTGTACACAATTAATCATACTTTATTAATTATTAAAATTTTTTGGCCAAAGTCGCGCGAATGCGTACCTTTATTTATTTTTGGGATCATAATTATGTCACGCGAACGTGTACATAATCACGATAGTAGATTAGGCGCGCCTAAAGCATTCTGCGAGTATTAAAGAATTAACTAATTATTTTTCTAAATTTTGAATTTATTGTGTAAGTGTCACAGTTATGGAACAATTTATATTTTGGACGAGATGTACATTTTATTAAGCTAATTGGTGTTGTTGGTTAATTTCTAAAGCATCTCGTCTATGTCGTAAAGTTACAAACGTTTTAGTGGTTACTTAATTCTATGAAAGACAATCAATTAATAATGAAAGGAAACTGACCACAGTGGTTACGCAATTCTCTTTTACCTTTTTGAATTTATGGTGGATCAAACAAGAGGGGTGAATGGGCAGGTGACAGACCCAGTCGACATGATGGACGACAGAGATGGATTTTATACTCCTTGAGTTTAAGCCCAAAGTCAGGCTTTATGTAAGGCCACAATTCTAGTTGAAATTACACCTACTAATTAACAGAAATTAACTATTATTCACATGTTTGGCTGGATCTTCACTAATTTCAGAATATATTACATACCAACAGGAATAGGCGATTAACAATCAACTAAAGGAATTTCAGTGTTTATTACAATATCTACTCAATTACGCTATATGATGAAATACATTTCCTTCAAATTAGTAGTACAATTACAAACATAGACATTCACACTTATATCTGAGTGAGCTGATTTGCAGTGACTCCAAAAACCTCTGATGCTCTAACGTTTGGCTTTGCGATTTATAGATTTGACCAATAAGTGGCCAAATTTATGAACTGCAGCCGTGTTCATTGCACTGATGACTCTTCTTTATCACGATTTTACTACCAAACATTACTTAACAAAGCATTAGGAACATATTTGGACTGAAATTCATGCTCAAAGGACATAAACTAACAAAGACAGCACATGCTTAGAGGCATTTGTGAGCAACAGTAAAATGACAAGGTTGAACTGATTTCAATTCAAGTCACTCAAACATTTTGGAATATTTCACAAAAACATCTAAAACACAACATATATAAACACAACAAACATCTGAAATTCACAGAAGAAAACATAGAAGCTTGATTATGCTAAATTCCAAGTGTACAAAAGTTCATAGATGTGTACCTAACCTTGAAACAAGTTAGGATAAGTCAAATAAAGGCAGATATTGAAGAACGTAGCTCACCCAAACCCCAGAAAATAGTAGAAAACCAGCTTCCAATCCTGAATATAATATAGAAATCCTTTTCAAAACCTGCTTTTAGGTGTTTCTCTGCGTGTGACTAGTGAAAATCAGTAAAGGTGAAGGAATGTGTGAGAATTCTGCAGAGGATCAGAACTGTGTGAGTGAAGGAATGTGTGTCCTTATATAGAATGTGAGGGTGTGTTATATGAGAGAAAAATCTGAAAAATGTGTCAGCCCTAAATATAAGGAAAAGAGCATCTTTTCCAACAGATTTTTGTATAGCTATTGTTAAGATATTCTTTTCTGATTTTACAGCCCCTTTAACTTCTGAATTTACCCCTTTTTCACCCCAAATTTGACCTAATTCCTTTGTCATATTGAATTTTAATCCCTTTCTAGAAGCTTCCTACATAACTACCTAAGATTCCCTATTTTTGCTTTCCTAATTATCCCCTTAAATTTCCTGTATTTACCACTCATCACCTTTTAAAAACTTTCTTTCATCTCATCCATTATTTTTAAAATCACAGGCTTTATTGATGGGCCTAATACAAAAGACTGTATTGACCTGGGCCCTAACCTACTGCTTCCCTCGTTCTTGACAAACAAACTAGCTCAAAACACCCAAACTTATAATGAACCACTAAAGATGATTTAAATCACCAAGCAATCGCCACTTAAGCAAAAACGCATACTGAATTAAGACTAATTAACCAAATAGCCTAAACGGCTAATTAAAATTCATCAATCAAACAAATATGAGCAAGAAAATGTATGAAAAACTACTAGCTCCTTTAAGGTTTGAATAACCAAATCAAACTCGACGGGTTCAAATAAGGCAATGAGATACTGGACTGAAAAACATTGAGGAGAATGGGAGGATTTATACCTATTAAGGTCCAATGGATTGATGAAAGCGATCCCGGCGAGCCAAAGAAGCAGAACGGAATAATTGACGAGCAACTTGCCGGCCAACAGTGGTTTGGCCGAATTTTGATGGCTTCGAAATGAGCTAAAACTTACATTAATCGATTGCTCTTGACAAGAGCAATTGATCAATGACAGTTTCAAGTCAAAACGATTAAGAATCACTGAAGAAATCGAAGAGGAATAAAACTAGGTTTTGAAATTTCTCAGATTGGAAAATAAAGGAAATCTATGATGTTTTGAATGAAATTAAGAAGAGATATGGGATGGGGAGAAGACGAGGATTGTAGGGTATTAATTTGAGGGAGTTTGAAGCTTGGCCGCCGGCAGAGATGGATTTGGTGATGAGAGGCGACTAGGGTTGAGAGCGAGAGAAAATGGGGGTAGTCTCTAGAGTTTTGGGGGGG